AACATACCTGTCTTCACATCATGGAACAAAACAAATGAGAGGGACCCCATATTTGCAAGAAAGAGTTTGAGACTGAGAGTTTTTTGTCTTTGTTTTCTTTGTCCTGCGTCTGACAACTTTGGATCCCAAGTGTATATAGATTCAACTATTTGCTTTCGGCTTCCAGGACAGCTGAATTCCTGAACTGGTGAACTGGTCTGGCAGTGGATGGGTTGTACATGGTCATAGACATCGCATGACAGGTCAGCGTCGATCTCAGAGTTGGGGAATCCCACTGAATCTTCCTAAATCAATATCTTGACCGACAGGTTCCACAGAAGGAGAAATCAGATCCATGCGTACCCAGACTGAGCTGGCACTCACGGTGGAAGGCGGAAAGGAAGGAGTTGCACCTAATTGTTATAGAATCTAAAGACCCTTACGTGCAATGGAAGGTTGGGAAAGAGACAGAAACTGGCTTTGGATCTGCTATAGCCTATATATCATATCATTATATATACCTAGAACCCATTTGACCTCTGTTTTGATAGGAAAAGACCATGTTTTGGCTCCAAAACAGGGGTCAATATATATCTTCCCGACCTTCCATGCTTGCCTCTCCGTGACCCTCCGTGACCCTCCGTGACCGTGCGGACCCCCGCCGTGGGGCCAAACTTACGCGCGGAGCACGGGTCCGGCGTGGCCTCTTGCGAATCCGCCATGCAATCCTCACTGTTGGTGTGGTTATCCACGCCTGTGGACCCCCCACCCGTGCTCAAGCCACCCTCCAGGCCACGATTCCTCAAGGTGCACACGATTCCAGGCAGTTGTTCTTCACACTGAAAGGGAAATTATGGCCCCAACGGGAGAAAAAACAATCTGATTTGGTGAGAACACCACAATCCTCTTTCCATGTTGGGAACCCCATCTGCCGGAGTGTTCTCCACATGATCCACAAGACTGCATCAATGTAGCTATCTCTTTGGTGCCTGTTGAGTCACATCGCGCACTCCCGTGTCTGTGTGCCCGTCCAATCTTCCTCCACCTTGAGTAACAGCCGATGACACACCCAAAATTGCCACACCAAACAAATCCCAAAGCGGCGCAGCTGACCCGGTGGTCCAAAATGAAAAAAGAGGTTAACCAGGTGGGCACCCCCCACCCAGTATAGTGTGGTTCTTCAATTCAGTGTTCGAATCCTTGCAGGTAGACTACCAGACTACTCAGGGCTGTAGTAGAAAAATACTACAGAACATACTCCCCCTTACATTCACTTCGATGCAATCCAAAACAAACCTCAGATCCTCAATACTCTCGCCATGTCTCAGATCCTCGACCGCGGCAGCATCGATGATCGTCTGCTTTTGAGCATGAGTGATCTCATCGCCGAAGAGGAACGTCAGGATCTCCGACATCGTCGCCTCGAGAGGCGCGTGAGACGCAACGTTTGGGGGGGGAGACGCCACCCAAAGCGGTGGAAGATGCTTACCCTAAGAATCCGGGCCCTCAGACAGATAGGGTTTTGAGGTCCCCAACCCCTGCCATGGAGGGTCCGACCCCTGCCATGGAGAGGTCAAGGATTCTTAGGGTAGGAGAAATCGGTGCCACGAAGGAACCTCTCCCAGCGCAGCTGGGTGGATCCCGGAGCTGCACCCGGCAACTGCTGGAGCGTGCTGGGGCGTGCTGTGCTTCTTTCGGATCGCGCCCAGAACCCGCAAAACCATCATGATGAAGCAGGAAACATGTGGATCATGGTTCTGGACCACCGTTCTGGACCCGCCATGGCATGCAAAACTTCGAGAGACGCACCCTGAATGCACCTCGAAAAAGCAACTGAAACATCAGTCGACCCACTGTGAACGTGAAAAGGAGGAAACCAACAACTCCGTCCCCTCATCCACTTTCCATCCCATTGACTGGAAGTCAGTTGCCCCATTCATGATTCCCGGAACCATCATCTTTCAGATCCCTAGACTCTCACCCAGCAAAGCATCCCAGGCAGCATCCTTCCTCCCCCCGAAAGCATCCCAGGCAGCGTTGAAGTAGAAGGAGGAATTCGTCATCGTCTCCTGAGGTCTTTCGCGAGGTGAGCGAAGGGAGCGAGCGAAACGAACCGAGTTTCGGGCTCGACCGCCCCGGGCTGAAGCTCGGTGAGAGAGAAGTACCTGGCCCTGGGGATGCACATGATGCAATGGAGGACCATTGAAATGGAGGAAAATGGATCGGTCACCAGAGTGACCTGGAGGAATGAGGCATCCATTCGTTGAGGAGCAAGGGCCTAAATATGTCTGGTTCTCATGAGGCTTGTGAAAGGCTTGCTGGAAGATGCCTCTCTCTCTCTCTCGCGCTGGTTCCGCATCTGACTCGGAGACCCTTCGCTGGCAGTGGAACATGGTCCGATGTACCCTGAGAGTCCAGTCATGACCAATTTTCCCCGAACAGGTGGTGGTGGATTGTGACGTGGAGTATCATGTGTCATTGGAAGTTCTGGGGTACCTACAACGGGAGATTGTGGGGCCCGGGGTTACACCCCAAATTGGGTTGAACACGAGACCATCCCTCTCGATCTCAATTAGTGGTCCTCAAGTAAGACGTGCTAATGTCCTCCATCTCATAGAAGTCTTTCGGGTCCTGATATGGGGATAGGTCAAAACCTGGAGCCCTAGTCCACCATCCTGGTTTTGGCTCACAGCCATACTTTTCTCATTATGTGTGATAAGATCTTGATCAGATCTTGAGATGAAATCTTCTAAAATCACCTCCTTTGCCTTCCTCCAGGCCTATAGGATGCCACCCTGTCCTTCCTCCCCCCTATAGCTGCATCGAGCGGCGTAGCGCACGGTCAACACGTTGGGCGGTGCCAATTGATAGGCGGAGAGCATCCCCTCGATGACGGGCTTCATACGTTCAGCGATGTCCGGAACGCCCTCCTCCTCGGAGCAGCGGCAGCGAATGGGCCAAAGTAGGGCTGTTGGGGAGCTTCGAGCCATGACTCGTACTTGTAAGCTGTCGTTTTCGGCGTACTGATTTCCATCAACCGCGGGACCGAAACGGTCAACTCTGATGATGTGGGGAAAATGCGGCTGCTTTGGATGCTCATGGGGGTTGGAAGAATGTGCCCTGAAGGCCTGAAGAAGGGGTCCGAGTTTTGGGATGCCCAGCACTGGTAGTTCAGGCTGTGAACCTCCAGCTTGGGGCAACAGCGGATGATGATGGTTGGTAAAGGCCTTTCTCAACTAGTGATCATTGTTTAAATCGACAGGCAATAGAACAGGCCGAAATAATATGCATAGATCTTCTGAATGGAATGTATTGCATCCTTGGTGGCCGTCCCACCCAAGCAAACGAAGACCACCCCAAGCAAACGAAGACCATCTCCAAGGGCACTGGGCCCATCTCTGTGATGTTGGGCGGTGCGAGGTTGCTGTTGGGCTCGGCGCCACGATGGTGATAGCAGTAGGCAGAGACCACCATTTGCAAGGGATCGCGCACGATCATCACCTCAGGGTTCCAAAAGCCGAAGGAGCCGAAGAAAACCGAGCTTTCAGCTGAGTCGATGACGAAACCGTACGAAACCCGAGTCGAACGTGGAGGCTGACCACTGCGGAGTCGGCAAGGCTTCAGACTTCAAGTGGGGTGAAGAATGGGCGATCATGTGGTTCGACACAACTGCTTCCTCACGACAGCCCGGACGTCCACCGATCCTTCTTCGCCCCAGGCTGTGAGATAGAATGGACACCAACAGCCATATTATCCAACGGAATACAGGACTTTGTCCATCCATCGCCTCTCAACAGTGACAAAGGGATTGATCCAGGCATACCATGCATACCCCAAAGAAAAGCACCCTTACGTAAAGCGTTTCGTGCTACATGCTTCTTGAACTTAGCAAAACATAGCAAAACCACTGTGGGGAGGCCTCCCCTGCTATCACATTTGGATGAGTTGAACATGTAGGCAACAAGTCAGGAATTCCTGGGCATCGCAGGGCAACTCCAGGGAATAAAACATACAAAAGCAAGACAAATCAAAAAACCTACCAAGCCCGCTGCCCACGGACTACATAATTTCATGTAATTTAGTGTGAGTTGTTTTAGGCATAAAAAACATATTACACCTGTGCGCGATAACTCGCCCCGATACCTCAGGCCTCAGACCCAAGCTCGCAGAAGTGGTTTAAGGGAAAGCTCTACTGTAAAACCGTGGTGAAAACCGATTCTAAAGAATAAGAACCCTGGTGAATATGTTGAGAAAACATGAGAAACACATATAGGAAAACAGGTCGATGTTCCCCTAAAACATCCCGATCCAACCCAATCCATTCGGTCGATGTTCCCTTACACCGCCCAGTGACTCCGCGCAGCGGGATGCCGCGCCGGATGGACTCGTTCTTGATTTGGATGAGCTCTGGGCCTGAAGTTCTTCCGGATCAGGCTGATGTGGGAGGAGAGAGGGGAAGCGAAGATGGAAGACTGATGAAGTTCCGAAAGCTTATGAAGTTTTGTCAATTAATTGTGTTTTGTGTTTAACACACAAACAATATGTGTAGTAATTCATTGTAATTCCATCTCACGTCGAAAACGCCCCTTGGGCCACATCACAGTCACGCCCGACATCCGATCGACATTGAGTTCTGCCCCAGCGGCCATTGATGTGGTTGTGAAACTGGATGGGCGCCCAGACATCATAACAATTGTTCTCCTCGGCGCAACGGAAAAAACACCCAACGCGGCTGCTATCTCGGTAGCTCCGGTGAGAGAACTGTTGGTGGCAGACTGCGTGAACGGGCGTTTAAAAGGCCGTTGCCGGGTGTTTTACTCGGTGCGCCGGTTGCTCTGGGCGTTTTCTGGTCTTGGTGGAGAACTGTTCTACTGTCTGTCTGTCATTCGGATTTTGGACTGACAAAAGAAGCGGGTCAGGATCCATACCACGGGGATTCCCTTGCATCAGGGACACCAGCCCTCATGGATCCTGGATCCTCCATTGAACACGAGGTCGCGAGGCACCGTTCATAGGGGTCAAGTACCCGGTTTCTCCAACAGCCAGCCTCACCCAGCAACAAAAATCTAATGCATGTATCCATCTGGGACTTTCCTGTAACCTGTGATTCTTTGATCACCCCAACATTTGATGGTCAGCTCTTCTCCAAAACAGCTGTCTAAATCCGCTGATCCTTCTGCTTTCTGTGCTCCCCAAATCCGTTCTCTCTGCCGGTTCGGCGCGACCAGGAGACCCTTCCAATGGTCGTGATCGAACTGCCATGTCCGCTAAATTGACAGGAGTAGGTGGCACCCAGCGTGTCAAAGGCCCAACACATGCTGTTGCGTAGCAACTGACTCCCAGCTTTGTGATTTGTTCCAACCTCAAGTTCAGATCGAAACTGAGATCTCTTGTGACAAGGAGGGTGGCATTTGGTGAGTCTCATTAGTAAGGTGAACATGGAGCTGAAAGAAGTACTGTAGTTATATATAGAGGGTTCAGTCAGTCGTTGGGATACGAAGATGCATGAAAGATCTAGCAACAGGACATGATCCAAGTAATACTCTCAGCACATCTGACCAAGGCAAAGGAACAATCTAAAACACCTCCCAAACAACCTTGCTGTTGAAGTCCCAGCTTTCAGGGATCGAAAACACCAGCAGCCGGAACGGTTCTGGTGCATCAGCGTTGTGCACCACACCCAGCATGTATTCAAAGCCCTATGACAACAGCCACAGGCATATGACAACATCTGACCACCTCACAGCCGGTGAATCCGTGTCCCTGTGTCTTCGTGTTCCCAACAAATTGAAATCATATCCACTTCCATCATATTACTTCCTACTATAGAGATCTATAGAGTGTACCAGCTGAGGGGACCCGCCCGCGACCCCCCCAAAAAGCATAACGGGCACTCCTGGCAGTGCAGCTGCAAATGTGTGTTCTGTTGAGTCAACATGTGTCAAGAAAACTGCACTGCCAAAAATGGCTGGATTCAACAATTGCATCCAGCAGGAAAGCCTGACCAAGTGACAACATGTGTCAAAACAAACACCTGAAAAAAAAAGACTTAAAGAAACAAATCAACAAAACAAAAATCAAAACAACAACATCTCTGTCTCCGGGGTCGAGGAACTACGAAGGCATGATGATCCCACGGCCTGGAGGGTTCCATCCGTTCAAGCGCTATTTGCCTCTGGAAGAAGCCTCAGGTGGTGGAGACCGCTGACAGCGGCCCTGGTGACCTCAACCGACCAATCGTCACCCAGAGGCCTAGTGACCCGTCACCCTTGGGAGGGCGGGCTGTCGTCACTGATGGGAGAAGGTGGAGAGAGAAGAGGAGTTCGGAGAACAAAGGCTTGGAGGTGACACCCAAGTTCACCCCAGAAACCGCCCAGATCCATGAAAGTGTGATCTGATCCATCTGATGCAGTGCTTCAATTGGACCCACACAAGATGGGTTTCCAATAACTATACTCCTTAAATCTCACACATCTGACACATAAAACACCTCAACAAAAAAACGAACACCAACAGCCCACCCGTACACGCCGATGTCTACGGTGTGCTATCAACTACGGGTGCTATCTGCATGATCTTCCGCCAAAGCACCGGTCCCCTCCGGTTCTTCGCACTGTTCCGGCTTCTCTGCCATGGAAAGGGTGAAGACCCAAAGCCCCAGGCGCCACATGGGGACGAACCTCGGTACAGAGGTACAGTACCGGTGCTAAGGGAGAGGCCCTTTTTCAGGTACCATGTGAGTTTTTGTTGTTTCTTTTTACATACCAGTACAGCTTACAATAAAATCCGCCCACACCGCTTGCGGTGCAGGGCGTGTTAGGGGCGGGTCAAGCTGGAATCATCGTCAGTCAATCATCACATCGTAATCAGTTCATAGCTCTGCTAGGGGGGGCTTTTTTTGTTTCGGGGAAAAACGTCTTACGCCTCGAGGGCCATGGGGGAGAGCGCTTTGGAGGTACATAATTTTTTGGCTATTTCTGCAAGAACCCAAACAAGCCAAAAAACGGACACCCACGATGCTGAAAAACCCTACTGACCAGCAACGCATAGCCAGCATGATTGCAAAAAGCCCAACGTAGCCTCAACACAGGGTCACCAAACGATCAAGCTAGCCTTGACATGATGTAATGTGGACTAACCAAGCGGGGGCAAGGCCACAAAACGGTCGAACTTGGAGCCTGAATTGGCTTTAACATGGCCACCAAACGAGCGAACTTGTGCGTAACTCAGCCGCAACATGGCCATAGATGCTGCGGCAAACAAGCCATCTCTTTGGACACCACTCCCGACCTCCCCTGTCCACTCCAGCAGTCTTTCCCCAGACGACCGATAAAAAACAAGAAGGTGTGGGCGGCGGACGACGCGAAGCGTCAGGAATAATGTATTATGATATGTGTTTTCTACATGTGTTTATCTATAATTATAACACATTTATTTTGGATAGTTGCAAAAGCCAACATAGTTTCAAATAGCTTCGACCGATGTGCCTGGCGGGATGGCCTGGCGGATGGTCGGATTGGGCCCTTGGCCAAACCAGCGGATGGATTCGACCCAAGACCCTAAGGCTATTTGGATCGGAGGATTTGGGGAGACACGCATCGAATGGCTGGGACGGGGGGGGTTGCAAAGGGTTCGATGTGCTTCGTGTGCTTGCTGAACTATTTGGCTACAAAAGTCAGCTCAAAATCTCTGCAAAACCAACCCAACCAACATCGAAGCAGGCCTTGAACAAAGTAAGTGGATACCCTTCTCAAGGTCTAATTTTGATTCAGAACAATCCTGAACTGACAAGTTTCTTCTTGATCTGTATTGTCGTATAGACATTGATTCTGCAAATACTTTTATTTAACGCGGTCGCGGACACTGAGCCCACTGAGCCCCACGGGAAGTGTACTTGAAGGACTTCTTGCAGTTGGATGGTTCGGATTTTGACGTCCGAAGTCATGCAAAAATCGGTGCTCGGCGAGCGAAAATCTTGGCCACATTGCACTTCAGCTTTAATGAACATATGTACATATATTTACACTCCCTGAAACAATCATGGAAGTGGAAGGTAGGCCGCCTGGAAGATAAACATTTCCTCTACTTTCGGGGGTCCTGGTCAGCTTCCATGATTGTTGGAGGGAGGGTAGCCATTGCAAGGCTTGTAACAGTCGGTCGTCTATCGCCATTGCAAAACACCAAAAAGAGATAAAAAGAGGTCTGCAAAAAAAGCCATGACGAGCCTCCAAAAGCCTTCCCTCCCAAGCACGCGGCGGGAAGAACCGGGAGACGTGCGTCTCTCGGTGCTGCCCGAGGGGCGGAGTGTGATTTTCCTCCGAACGGGTCTGGTCGTTTGCGGTTCGGTCAATGCTTGAGCCCAATGGCCGAGACGGGGCGATTTGGGAACGGATGAGATGATGAGGTCGTCTCCTGGACAGGGCTCCTGGCCCACCTGTGTCGGTGAAGGTGGTTAGATGTGGGTAGCACAGGGGTGGGTAGCACCCGCCTGTTGGAGCCTCGGTCCAGGCGTTCGGAACATCGGTCCCAGGCCGTACCAAAGTCGTCGAACGGGCCGGGTCCGACCCCAACATGGGCCGTACGCAGCCGATCACCAACTTAGTTTTTCATTCAAGTGCCTATCTTCAAGCGTTCCATTTGGATCCATTTGCTTGTTGTTTGAGATTCTGTTGTTTGTTGCTTCTTCGCAAGTCGCTACACCGCGCCGCTAAGACCATTGGAAACTCCTTATCTCTGCCGTCTCCTCCCTGTTCTTGACTCTCAAAACTGGTATCCGCCACATAGAAATGGATCGACCAGTGATTCATTCATTGGACGCCAAATGATCCTGAACTGTTCCAAAGAAACACGACAAAGCTCCCTTTCGCCAAGGCACTGTATCCCTCCTGGAAGGGTGCGAACCATGGAGATCAGCTAAGGTATCAGGAGTCACTACTGAGATCGACTGAGTATAGTGACCAAAGTAGTGCCACTTTTGTTTTAACTTGGGGGGATCCACAAATAACAACTGCATATCGCTGAGAAACTACCCCCCACAAATGGCATATGCCCCTGCGCGACGAAGCTGAATCAAACTAAATCAGCTCGGTCTCCTGCTACACAAAGCCTTGCATCAGCTCAGTCCGTCAATCGAATTCCTGAAAAGCTTCTGGAACTCTAGTGTCAATCAAGCCCTGGCTGAGAGCTCACTGCTCCATGCACATGTCTCGTGCACAGTTGGTATCTACCAAACGCCTCCTGGGCTTTAGTCAATTGACCACGCAAGACACGGCCTTTTGGAACAGGATTTCCCTGCAAACGCAGCTCGCTTGAACCGCCAGTGACGAGCACTGGACTTGGGAGTTCCGAAGGCAAACAGAGCAAACTACCCCAGCATAGTATACCCAGTGGATCTCAGTTAGCACTATACCTAGAAGCACCTGGGGCAGAAATTTCTGCCTCAGTCCGATTTGCCCGGGAGGATTCGCGGATTTAGGGGAAATCCGCGCCAGGTAGGAATTTCCGCGGGCAGCAGGGAATTTTTGCCTCAAGCAAAATCCAACATAGCAACTCAAAAACCATTACAACCTACCAGGTTGTCTCTTCCATTATTGCAGACCACATATCGTTCTGCATAGCTTCACATCTCAAGATCTGACACCCTACGATTTTGACACTTCTAAATTCATGACATTCACAAAGAGGCTGCGACATATGTTCAAGCCCTTCAAAGGCATCAAAGGCACTGTTCTTGAATCCCGCCTTCTACCAGGAAATTTCCGCCGGTTTCCCGGGTATTTCCGCCGTTTTCCCGGGTATTTCCGCCTCTTTCCCGGGTATTTCTGCCTTTTTCCCGGGCATTTTCGCGCCAGGTGTTTTCAACTTTGGACTGATTTTAGTCCTTTTGTGATCATTCCGCACAAGAAACCTTCAAAAACAAAGACACATAATATATCCCTGAGAGTCAAACCTCGATTCTTTAAATACCGGTTGCAGCAACATGTATTATTTTCTATGTTTTGACAGTCAGAACCTTTCACACGGTTTCACGCTCATTTTTCATCCCTCATGATCACGCTGTGCATTCGCTCTTGCTCTTGCATTGAGCCTTAGAATCGAGCAGGTTGAACCTACCACTCACATCACAACTCATTTAAATCCCAAATTTTGGTGTCCAAGTAACTTTGAAATCCATGTCCTCATGGATCTAATCCTCAACTTCGAGCACCGCAGCAACCATGTGTGGCGAGTGCTCGGCTTTGCAAAGGTGGCGATGCCTAGGGCAAGAGGAGGAGGAACATCTAGATTGGACACTGCATTCAATCACCAGCTGTCTTAGCACACTGAACAATCACGATTCTTCCACCAAGATGCTTTTGCACCACTTCATTGAATCTTCGTCTGGGTATGTGTGGTAGTACCGAGGGTTTTCCAAGTGCTTCTTTGCAAGATGGAGAAGGTGCCCAAAAGCCTGAGGTTTGTGCGAAACCCTCGATCCCATGAAGGTTTATGTGTGTTCCCAGGTATGCTGCAACCTATATTTTAAAAAGAAACGAGGATTGAATCTCAGGGCCATATATGCCAAGGTACGTGAATTTTTGGAGTGATTTGCCACTCCATGCGCGAGTCCCTGATCAGGCTCATGCACATGAGAGATATACTTCCTTTTGAACAATCCTGCCAACTACAAATCCCAGGGCTGGCCTCACAGCCAAGGTATTGAGGCAAAGGTATGCGTCAACATATCGCCGACCTTCTCGAAACATCTCATTTGCTCGGAAAGGTGTCCTCGGCTAATTACTTAAGACCCTGAGGGTTGTAAGATTTTTCTGGATGTTTTGAACGAACTCAAACTTCCCCGCGTGAAGCTGATTCAAAGCTAGGCGCAAGAATCTTTTGGATCTTTCCATCAGTCCCATGTATCGAGCCATACTTCTCCTCAAGATCTACAAGATCTTCAGGACTGCAGGCGAAGTGTGAAAGGGGCAGGAGGTGATGAGTTGAAAAGGCCCCCTAATTGCTGAAGAGAGTCTGGGCCAAATAGGTGAGGGAGAAGCGCTCGCTTCGCAGATCAGGAAATCTTTCCCAGCAATCCTCAAGGCACCAACCATTGAAGGCCTTGTGGGTCCAACATACCTCATCACCAGCTTTGATCACCTCAGGTTGATCACTAGCAGCATGTGCTTCCAGGAATGGTCGGGATCCAATTTTTTGAAGGGAGGGACTTGGACAGACAAATAAATGGGCTGCTGATTTCATGAACCAGCCACATGTCTTTCTTTAAAGCGTGGTTGACTACATCGAATCTTCCGGTGCTTCACAAAGTTCTGGAAGTGCTCAAATGCGTTGTCAAGTTGGTCTTGAAATGATCCATCTCCAAAGTAGGATAGATCCTTTGCCAAAAGAACCCTTAGCTTGGCCGGCCAATGAAGGAACTGAAGCTAAGTCAGACTCAGTCAAGCTGGATCACCAGTGGGAGAGCCCAGACAAACTGGCAGGCGAGGGGTTAGAAGGTGAATTAAGAGACAAGTGGCATCGATGCTCCATTGCTCCGGAACATCAGTCCCAGATTCAATACATGCATGCTGCACCATCTAATGGCCGATGGATGGAAGCCCGGTGCGGCAATCAATGGACCTTGGGGAACATAGCAGCAGCAGCAGCAGCATTCAAATACCCTGGAACACTATATAGCTAAAAGGAATTGTTGAAGGAAAACAAGTATACCTATGATCATACCAAGTATCAGAACCCTCTATCAGGTTGCCTTTCAATCAGAAACTCTGCCAGAGTGAAAGCATTGTCCGCCCATAGTGAATTCTCTTCAAGGTTCCAGTATGCATTGTTCCAATCCGCACACCTCCTAGCGTCGCACATCCAACATACCTTTTCACTTTTCCAGCTGCAGCCACTAAAGTGCCACAAGTCACGATGCCACTCCCAATCACCACGATACTCTGTTATGACGAAAGACAATTTTCGCCCTCGGATGATTTGCTCACCCTGTCTACCAGCTAAGTTTGGTGGCAGCTCGCCACCAAAGGGTCCCTCTTGTGGAATTTCTCCAACAAATAGAGCTCTGAAACTCCACAACAAATGTCTCATCACTGCATCCAGTGTCCAATGTGAATAGAGTTTTTCGTGCATTATGCTGAAGACCAACCACCTGCTCGATCTTGTGCTCTTAGGTCTATATAGCGGCAGGTTTATCCATACAGCTATCAGCTTCTCGTGTTTGTACAGTGTAGCCAGCCTGGCCCCGTCCCCATAAAGGCCCAGAGGCACTGCATCGGTGTCTCCAGGCCCATAAAGCGCAAATGGCTGACCAGTGCTCAATGCATGCACCCAGTATCTCGTAACTGCTTCCCGCGAAATAGTGACACCCAAAGTATTGAAGAGATAGCCAATCAAGTCGTGTGGATAAATCACTGGCATTTTCTCCATTTCATATCCAGCCGGGAGTTTCTCGTTTTTGACAGGTATAGATAGTTCATTGATAGCCTCAGGATATCCATCCACCCTGTATATATTTAAATAGCTCCAAGTAGAAATGATTGTGAGGCATAAAATGACTTGATTGCATCAAGAGGCAATAGGAAGGTCAAGGTGCTTCCAGAAGTTGCGCACTGCATTGCCAATCGATTTTGATCCCAGCCGATAGCTATCCGGGTGACAACCAGTAGGTCCAGATTCCTGGGTTGCACACATCCAGAGCCTGTCGACCAACATTGATAATAGTGCAAAGCATTCATCCACCAAGGCACATTGGCATGGGAGCGGATGCTTTTCATCGCTCGGGATACCGAGACAACCTAGGGGCTGGGCTGGAAGGGTGCGGTGTTTGGAGGAAAGATCAAAAACTACCTGTTGATTCCAAGAGGCTCCTGATGATACATCATCAACTGCATTGTTGATGACATCGGATCGGTATCCCGCCGACCGTGATGATGTCAGTCCTTCCAGCCAGTCACATGACGATCATGACATGCAAGCTAGCTGGCTGAGAAAGGTTATTGCACCGGGCTTGCACATGTTTTTCTTTAGAGAGCATCGTAAAGGGTGTGCCTAGCAACACACCATGATTATGTCCAGAAGCAAGGCTTTGCCCTCCAGCTAGGCATAGACGTGCCCCACATCCAGTGCTCAAGGACAAGGCAAACAGACAACTCCACTGTTCTTCAGATGTTCTTTTGGCCGTGACGTGACACCATGCCCCCTCTCACTGGAAACTCCGCTGGCCAGCTAGCTATGGCAAAGATTTCCCCAATCGGAATCGCAATCTATTCATTTGAGATTGCTACTTTTGCAAAAATCTGTGAATTTGGCCGCCGCAGCATCATGTATGCCCACTGCCTTGTCGATCAGTTCCACCTGGCCAGGAGTATAGTTTTGAACTCCCAAATTAATAGCATGTACCCATGTCGAAAGTAACAAGCCCCACAAGAAGACCTTATTCTTGTCCACGATTTCTTGTGCACGAGTGCGTTCTTGTCTCAGAATCTTGATCTGATCATCGAGATCTTTACCCACCGCTTTGCGAACAGATTCAGACCTGAGTAGTTGAGCCAGTGCGTAATAACGTGTAGTGCACATATGCAAAAGACAATGACATGTGAGTTAGATTCCTTGAAAGCCAAAGTTGCATTGTATTCAGCTTCTCCTTGCGCTGGACTGCTTTGTTGACTAGCCCATTGAGTTTGGCCACAGCCTAGGAAATTGCAAGTGCATGTTAAAT